TTTAACAGTCAACAGATAAAATTGCATTCAAACCAGCACAATCAATCAATCAGTTTAGTAATTCAGTCAGTCAGTCAATTAACATGCTTAATCATGGATTAGCACTAATCAATGGTGAGGGTTGTCACAAAGAATAAAAGAAAAGGAAAAAAAAAAAAAACAGAGGAAGAACAAATGCGAAGAAGAAAGGAAAAAAAAAAGAATCCGGATCCTCGGTCGCCCTACCCGGCAGCCCTACCCGGCAGCCCCCCAAAACGACGTCGTTTTGGGGGTTTTTTGGTTTTTTTTTTTTTTTTTTTCTTTTATTCTTCTTCGTTCTTGATTTCTCTCTCTTCGAACAGAAACCAGAGAGGAGGGGAGAGGGAGAAGAGGGAGGGAGGAAGAAGGAGGGAGGAGGCTGCGAGCTCGCCATCGCAGCTCGTCGCCTCGCCGCCGGCCGTCGCAGCCGTCCGATCGTCGCCCGATCCAGCTCGTCGCAGCAGCTGCACCGCCATCGCCTCCGCCTCCGGCCCCGCCTCCGCCTCCGCCTCCTCCTCCTCCCCAACTGGTTATGGCCCCCTCCAGTCCGGCCCTTCCCTTTCTCCTCCTCCTCCTCCCTCCTCCCTCTCCTTCCTCCCTCTCTTCCTCTGCGTTTTTTTTTTTGAAAATTTGCCCCCAAAACGACGTCGTTTTGGGAGCTGCTGGAAACGGCTGCCGGGTAGGGCGGCCGAGAATCCGGACTTATGAAAAAGGTGTGTGAGGAAACATTCTCTCTCTTGGTTTTGTTTAGCAAAAAAGTTGAGGTTAAATTAATAATTAAAAGATAAAATAAGTTAAAAAAATTAATAAGGTGTTGTTTGTTGTTGTTGTTGTTGTTGTTGTTCAAATTCTATAATATTTTTTTATTTTTTTAAATTTTTTTTTATGATTGTTGGTTGTTATTGATGATGATATGTTGTTGTTGATGTTAATGCTCTCTCTCTCTCTATCTCTCTTCGTTCCCTAGCTCAATCTTCTCTCTTTTTTCTCTTCTCTTCTTCTTCTTCATCTTCAGAGAGAAAAGAGAAAGAAAAAAAAATGCCCAAAACGACGTTGTTTTGGGCAGTTGAACTATTCTGGCCAAAGACATTTCGAGCTACCTAGCTGCACTATTCTTTAATATTATTCTTACGCTGTGTTTGGTTTGAAGATTTGGAGAGGATTTAGAAAAGAAAAGAGAAAAGGTGTGTGAAATATAAATATGTTTTATTCATATTTCACCTATCTTTTTCATTTCTCTTTCCAAATCTCCCAACCAAACACAGTATTAATTATCCCGCTTGAGCAACAAAATCAAACAACCTCTACTTTGACTAACATCCAACATTAAAACTTAGTTAGTGTACGGGAAAGGAATAAACCTTATCGTATAATCCTGTTGATCAAGTCTGCGCTCCTCTGTACAACGTCGCTTTACTCCCTGAAAACACAAACGTGAGCTAGCCGGCGGGTGTGTGCCGGAAACCCCTCCGATGCTTAAGTCAGCAAAATAGACAAGTAGGCAGAAAACTCTGTGTATCAAAGAACCAAAGTTGTGCTACCTCTCCATAGGTGATATTTGTGAGCTTTTATAGGTTTCGTGTGGCACAATCCAAGTAGGACTCTTACTCCTCCATGTAGAGTCCTCCTAGGATTCATACTCCTGAAGGATAATGCTCATCCTTCAACATCCCCCTCACTACTTAAACCAAGTGAGATGGTTTTACCATGGTCAAGTTCTAACAGGACCGGGGTAATCATGGCTATGCTGAGCCGTAGAGTAGGCCGAACCATCTTTAGTTCGGTTCTCCTTTTCACTACTCCTTATCTCGGTTCCTCATGTACAAAGAATGGTGTGGTTAGACCGAGCTACCGAGTAGCAAGGTTCTGACCAGTCTAACCACAATACGTCATGACTGAGCTAACTCTGAGACCGGTCTAAACTTCAAAGCGTCTTCAAACCGGCCTAACTCCAAGTCGCTTCCGGACCGGAGTAACTTTACATCTCTCTCGGGCCGGAGTAACTTTTATACCTCTCTCGGGCCGGAGTAACTTTACGGCTTTTTTACTCAGCTCTTAGTACTGTGGCCCATAACGGCCCATTAGCCAGCTCGGCCCAATTTTCATATAAATTACCCTCTCAGTTAGCATTTTTTCTATGAATGTTGCTCTAAGGGCCAACTGTAATTGAAGAGTTGAAGAAAGGAGATTAAATAAATATAGATTGTATTTGGTTCTATTCTCTAAACATATTTTTATTCCTTGTTTTGAGTGTCTTGTTTATTTAGAGTTTTTAAAAATTAATTTCACACCCACTTTTGAAGACTCTTTCCAAGGTGAAAAAATTTGGTCTAACCAATCGTCCCCCCGAACGTTCGGCCTATTGACCGGAACAATGCTATTTTTTTTTTTTTTACAATTGACACCTGTTATTTTTATATTTTAAATAAATAAAAAAAATTAGAATTTTTAAAAAAAATTTATGAGTTTTGAATAGAATTTTGAGTTGTGTGTTTAGTTATGAGTTGCAAATTTTTATATCAAATATCATATGTTATATTAAAAATTCCCCACTCAATTCAAAATTCTTTTCAAAACTCATTCACTAAACAAATTTTTCACACTCAAATCGTAATTCCAAAACTCACAAATTCAAAATATAATTTTATTTTCAAAACATATTTAGAACTCTACCAAACGCTATCATATATTTTCTATCGTTTAATAAGATAAATAAATTATGTCATTTATCATTTCATAAATGTTACGTCATCAACCCTGTCATCATTAAATGCCTACTTGGATGTTATGAAAACGGTGGTGCTATATACATCAATTAGTGTATTAATACTAGTTATAATATTATTATTGACCTCACCCATTAAACAAATTATAAATACCAAAAACTTCTTAAATTATGTCACATTATCAATTAGTACACTAATTGATACATATAACATTATTCTATAAAAGAATAGCATTTTTGTTTTGTATGTACATTTTTTTTATTTTTTGAAAACCAGTTAAATTAGTTTAGGAGAATATTTGGTAACCTAAAATTTTGTGGCTTAAACGGCTCAAATCTATTAATACGACGTATTTTACACTTAAAATCTGTCAAAACGACGTCGTTTTAAGTGATTTGAGCTATTTGAGCCATAAAATTTTAAGTTACCTAGCATTGTTGATTAGTTTAAATGACTAACTATAAAGAATTGTGTCAAAGCAAACGCTAGCTAAAATTATTATTACATCAAATAAAAAATAATTTTGTGTACGAAACACTAGACAACATGCCTCACAATGTTGGAAAAGTTAGGAAAACATTTTTTAGTTTTGTTCGAGTCATTTTGTTAAGGCAAACAAATAAATTTCACAATTTTTTTCTAATTGATATATTATGCAATAATAAAACTTAAAAAAATGAAGCAAGATCAACTTCAATGATATATTTCACATCAATAAATATTAATAAAAAAATTAATTAATTTATACTATTACTCTTTTGTTAATTAGCATTTTTATTTCACACAAATGAGTCGGATGTTGATCTTCGATTCAGCAGCACACATGAAAAAACGATAATAATAAAAACTTCATATAAAAATAAAAAAAAAAACAAAAAAAAAACTGTGAATCTAAGATTGATGATTGGAATTTGAAATACACAAAACAAATAGGAAAATGTTTTGGATCCTCTTTGGAAATAATCATTACACCGCTTAAAGTGATCTTAGCCTTCTATGTACGTGTGGAGCCCACTTATATACGTGTAGAGTCCACATAGTGGTTCAGATTTGTGAGAGTAAAAGTCTCAATCATTGCCCAAAATATTAGAACAACAACTAACTAACATAGTTTAATGACAGATAGGGAAATTACAAAACTACATCATTGCATTTCCTATTGTCTAAACCGCCCTGAGAAATGGGTTTTCCTAAATTTGTTTGCAAAAAGTATTTATTGTTTGAAAGGAGAAAAATAAGCATAATGCTAATCTATACCATTACATAAAAAAAACTAAAAAAAAAAAATTAACTCATCAATTTTTGAAAACAAAAAATTCCCAAAAGCAAGCAGTATTCCTGTTTTCAAAAAAGTACTCAGTAAGAAAATTATAATTTTATAATTTTTTAAAAAAAATAAAAAAAAAATTGTAAATTGTATATTGTAAATGTTACCAAACACGGGTGAAAGGGTGGCTGGCAGGAGGTGATTGTAAGATGGTGGTTGAAGGTGTTCGTCGGCTACCAAAAGTGTTGATTGGAAGTGATTGGTGACCGTTGAAGCACTTATATACGTGTAGTGTCCACATAGTGGTTCAGATTTGTGGGAGTAAAAGTCTCAATCATTGCCCAAAATATTAGAACAACAACTAACATAGTTTAATGACAGATAGGGAAATTACAAAACTACATCATTGCATTTCCTATTGTCTAAACCGCCCTGAGAAATGGGTTTTCCTAAATTTGTTTTCAAAAAGTATTTATTGTTTGAAAGGAGAAAAATAAGCATAATGCTAATCTATACCATTAGATAAAAAAAACTAAAAAAAAAAAATTAACTCATCAATTTTTGAAAACAAAAAATTCCCAAAAGCAAGCAGTATTCCTGTTTTCAAAAAAGTACTCAGTAAGAAAATTATAATTTTATAATTTTTTAAAAAAAATAAAAAAAAAATTGTAAATTGTATATTGTAAATGTTACCAAACACGAGTGAAAGGGTGGCTGGGAGGAGGTGATTGTCGGCGATCAAGATGGTGGTTGAAGGTGTTCGTCGGCTACCAAAAGTGTTGATTGGAAGTGATTGGTGACCGTTGAAGGTAGTAATTGAAGGTCGCTGATGTTGGTGGGATGGTTGCTTTTGATGGTCAGAAGTGGTTCTCAACGGTGGAAAATGGTGACCGACCATCAGCGGTGGTAACCAAAGACAGTAGCCAAAGATGATAATGGCCAAAGGTGATTGCTGCAAGTGGGAAGTGGTCGGTAAAGGTGGTCACCAATTGAAAGATTAGTTTGAGAGAGTGAGAGAAGCTATAGAGTGAGAGAGAGACTCTGAAATGTTTGTATTATGTTGTGTGATTTACAAAGGGATGAAGGCTCTCTTTATAGAGAGAGAAAGGACACTATACAATTAATAATATAATGAAGTCTGCTATGCTAAAGCTATTCTAACACCGAAAGCAAACACTATATTTATACAATATTCTAACAGCCGAAAGCAAACACTATATTTATACAATATTCTAACACCAATAATGATCATCAGAGGTGGAGGTTGGGGTGGCCGAATCTAGTAGCTGATGAAGTGTAGAGAGGGTTGGAAAAGGAAAAAAATGAAAACAATTTTTGATTTTTGGTTTTATTTTTTTTTGTTTTGTAGTTAAAAGAATTTAATAAATTTTGTAAATTCTTTACAAAGGTTTTGAAAACCAAAATAGATATCCAAGGAATTTTTCTTTAATTTTTTTATAATCTATCTACATTAATAGAAAACTACGTTACCAAATGGGCCAATATATGTTTCAAAGCTTTCATCCCATCAATTTGGCAATTTCAAAATTTAGAAGTACCAAAACCAAACATCTGCAAACAGTTAAAGAGATATGGTAACAATACTCACAAGTCTTGCACAGTGTACCCAATCCAATCCAACACAACTTTTTAAATCAAAAGCATTTCTCTCCCATAAACCTTGAAAATCACCCAAAAAAAAGAAAAGAAAGACAAGTCTAGCATAGAAATTCAGGAAATGAACAGTTGAAATAGCTCAAATGGTCACTACAATGACCTAATTTATATCACCCCATAGAAATTCAGGAAATGAACAGTTGAAATAGCTCAAATGGTCACTACAATGACCTAATTTATATCACCCATAAAGAAAGAAGGAAGAAAAAGTACAAAAATGCTACCTTCACATCTTTAATTCAAGATCTCCTAAAAAATACAACCAAATCTTTACTCATTCATAGAACTTTGGTCTAGTTAATAATAAGATTATAAAAATATATATATATTATTAACGAGTGCCCTAAAATACTGATCACGCACTTTTATAAACAATCCACAACCACATCAAGAAAGAAGGAAGAACAAGTACAAAAAATGCTACCTTCACATCTTTAATTCAAGATCTCCTAAAAAATACAACCAAATCTTTACTCATTGATAGAACTTTGGTCTAGTTAATAATAAGATTATAAAAATATATATATATTATTAACGAGTGCCCTAAAATACTGATCACGCACTTTTATAAACAATCCACAACCACATCAAACCAGTTAACATATGTATAAGGACACCCGTTAATAAAATTAAAAACTAAATAATAATAATAATAACAATAATAATAAAGTCTTTAACTTTGGCTACATATATGAATGAGGAAAAACAATGCGGCCACTTTACCCTTTCGCCAAGATTACATCCATGATGATGATGGGGATTAAAAAGGCAATCTAATCTATACCCATGAGTATATGTATGGTAAACGCAAAGATTCAATACTTATTTGATTCAAGAAAATTGACTAAAATTGGAAAAGAAAATTCATCATCAGTACCCAGAAAAAACCAATTCCCAAATCCAATCTGGAAAATTTCTCTGGAGGAGAAGAAAATGCCAACTCCAATAACATTGGCCAAATCTTTGAAAGATAGATTTTTCTTTTTCTAGTAAAACATTATCAGAAAAGACAAGATTGATTGATTGAAAAACCTCAACAAAGTAACAACAGAGACCTCCCCCAATTTTTCCCCAAATTTGTTTCCTCTCTAAAAATCAGCACCCCACTCCACCATATCGAAATTACATAATTTAATAAACTAAAAAAAAAAAAAAAATCAAGCTGAAGAAAAATGTGGCCGCGGAGGGAGTAGTTGGTGAGGCTGATGAACCTGATTGCTGATATTCACGGCGGCAGTAGCACCGGGGGTGGTGGTGTTGTGTGTAATGAAAGGGTGGTTCAACAATTTTCCGGCAGGCCATCTCTTGGATGGATCTCTCTGCAAACAACAATTGATGAAATCACGAAATTCTCTCGACGCCGTAGGCGGTGCTTGAGGCGGCTGAGACATACAGATTGCACACATGAGACTCGCCCAATCTCCACTCCCAGCTGCAAAAGGAAAGTGACCAACATAGAATTCCAAAATACTCACTCCAAAGCTCCAAATATCTCCAGCATATCCATCGTACTTTCCGTGATTGAGATCGGTGTTGATTCTTTCCGGACTCATGTACGCAATCGTCCCAACCGCCGAGTTACAAGGATCCATCGTTTGAGATAAGATTCTGGAAACCCCAAAATCAGCAATTTTTACCTGATTTCGAGAATTCATCAACAGATTCGAAGGCTTAATGTCTCTATGAACGATCTTACGCTTGTGGAGATAGTACAGCCCGGAGAGGATCTGGCGAGATAGATCAGCGAGGCGGGATTCGTTGTGTATAAGCTTTCCTTCGAGAGATCCACAGTCCATGTATTCCAGAAGAAGTTGAATCTCACCGGCGTGATCGAACATGTCGTGACACCTGACGACGCTAGGGTTATCTACGTCGCGAAGGATCTCGATTTCACGACAGATCTGGCGACGAATGGTGTCTTCGTCTCCGTAGGTCCCGTGGATCACCTTCAAGGCGAAAAGCCTCCGACTCGGCCGATGGAGGACTTTGTAGACTGTTCCGCCGCTTCCGCTTCCGATTCGGTTGATTCGCTCCAGTTCCGAGAAATTCAACGGCGGCGGAGCACCACCACCGCCGAGTTGAGTGGAGTTGGAAGACGACGGAGCTGAGCTCGGAGGAAGAGGGAGAGGAACCGCTAGAGACATGTCTCGTTGAGGGAGAGGTAGGGTTAGGTCTGGGCGCCTCCGATTGCGGTTGCGATTGGCGGCGGCGGAGGGTTGTGGTGGTGGTGGTTGATTCCCCCTCATATCTTCTTTCTCTCCTCTTAATTAACAACAACAATGATTAACAAATTGATTGAATGAAATTTTGTTTGTTTTTTTTGTGTTTGTTTTAGCAACAACAAAAACTCCTCATTTGAGAGCTTTAAACAGGTTTTTGATTTGGTGATTGATTGATTTCTTCTAACCAATCCAAATCTGTGGAACCAAGTCTTCTCTATGGAGAGAGAGAGAGAAGGTTCTTGGAAGGGAGAGAATCAAAAGGAGAGAGAAGGTGGTGGTGATATCTGAGAAAGCAAAGCAGAGAGGAGAGAGAGAGAGAGAGAGAGACAGTAATATTTAATAACATTATTATAGATTAGATTTTGAGGAGGAGAGGAGAGGTAGCAATCAAAAAGAGGGAATCGATATTTTGAAAGGGAAAGAAAGTCCACGCGCGAGTGAGATGCGTGAGAGATGGGGCTGGTAATGTACAGAAATTATCAAGAAGGAAAATGAGTGAAAGCACTAATTAGTGTTATCATTAATGATATGGCAGTGGGTCCCACTAGGAATGATATGATGGTTTGGTCTTGGTGTTGTATTTTTTTTTCTTTTTTTATTAAGTACCATGTCATTAGTGGTCTTTTTAGAATTCCAAAATTAGTAGTCTCTATCATTGTTGAATGACGGGTTAGGAGATTAGCCGATTGATAAATTATAATTTGAACCGTTTTTGATGAATTGACGAATATTCTAACTAATTATATAAAATTAATTTGTATAATATTTTTTAGATATATAATACAAAATAATTTTACATAATATGTTTCATATATATAACTACTAATTTGTAATAAATTTCATATCTTAAACATTTCTTCCACTTATTTTTACATTCATATTCTTTAAAAGTTAAAAAATATATATGTATTAACTACAGCGAAACGGAATGGTTCGGTTGATAGATTATAAATTTTAAAGTTTAAATCGAGATTAACAGTTAGACCAGTGTGAATTAATACGAATCAATGTGATTTTAACAGATTAAACGGTATTTTATTCGATCCTACTAGACTCTCACTTCTTATTATATTTGATATTATTGATTAAAATTACTTGTTTTGGGAATAAATAAAATAATTAAAAAGTTAAAAGATATAAAAAATTATATGGAAAAAAGATAAATATTATTTTTTTTTCTACTTTTTGTATTTTTTTTAAATTAAAAATTCGTCCTAAAAATTTTAGTTAAAAAATAAAAAGTTACTAAAATAATTTATTTCAAACCAACCCTCAGTATTTTTTATTAGAATATTAAGGGGTGGTTTAGGTATGACTTATTTAGGGATGATTTAAAAAGTTGGTTAAAAGTTAACTTTTTAATTTTTTTACTTTTTTTGTATTTTTATGTGTAAAAAATATAAAAAGTGATATGATCTAAAATAAGTTAAAATCTAAAAGTTACCTTGCCAAATTGCCTTAGTAATTTTTTGATTTTTTTTTTTAATATAAAAAGTCACACATAAAAGTAAACAACGTGACAAGTTGTAATAAATAAGTCAATAAATAATTTATGTAAGTCGTCATTTGGCATCAATTTTTTTTAGTTGATTTTTGTGAGTTGAGATTTTTTTTAGTTTGGAATTAAAAAATTTGTTTGGTTTGATTTTTTTGACTTTTTAAATTTTTATAAAAAAAAAGTGAAATGATTATAATTTGGATATAATATTTTACTTTATTGACTTATTTAATTTATTTTATATTTTGTGTTTTTTTAGCCCAATTAAGTTAACCAAACAAAGGCTAAGGGGTTGCCAAACTACCTCTAAGAAGCAACTTGACGATTGTTAGTGGGAGTGTTAGTTTGAGTTTTTTTGAGCCAATTTATAGCTTCTAGTTTTAGAAAAGTTATTTTAGATTGTTTGGTTAAACTTATTTCAAATCACTTCTGATTTTAATAATTTATTTTAACTCAAAATGCTGATTATGAAAATTTGTTCACCCCTTACTTCTGATTATTAGCTCCTGCTGTGAACATGTTAATTTACTGTTATACTCTTAGATTTTTTTATTTTTATTTTTTTTAAAAATATAAAAAGATCCAAACGGACTATAGATTTTTAATTATTATTTTTATGAGAAATGTAGACAAATTATAAATAACAAAAAATAAAAATTAATTGAAACAGTTAAATTTATAACTTATTTAACAAACACTACTCAGCAACAGACTATAGATTTATTATTATTATTTTTTACGAGAAATGTAGACAAATTATAAATAACAAAAAATAAAAATTAATTGAAAAAATTACTTCATAACTTATTTAACAAACACTACTCAGCAACTTAAATCTATAATCTAACAGTTATACCAAACAGATTAACAGTTTCTGATTAAAGTCATAATCTAAATCTATTAAGTTATAATCTATAATTAATTTTAATAGTTACATCAAACGAGGCCAGTGTGAACCAAATAACCTTCCCATGTATCTATCTAATGAAATCATATAATTTCTATGTTATTTTTTTATTTTTAGCATCATTTAATTTTTATACCTCCTGCTATTGATTAGGCATATTGCCAGTATAAAATTTTTGATAAATAGAATAGTTTTTCAAAAACTCTTTTTAATTCATGAATTTGAAAACAAATTTAAAAAGATATATATATATATAATATAAATATATTGAGTATTGCTATTCAAATTTAAAAATTAGACTCACTTTTTTAATATAGTGATATATCAAAAAAATAATTAAAGTATTTAATTATCAATCAATTATTTTTTTAACACGTTACTAAATTTAAAAAATAAATTTATATATTATTTGTCAAATATATATTATTTTCTTTCTATATTTCTAAATTCCTACCATGAACTACGTAATGCGAGATTGGAATTGGGAAGCCGTGTGTGTTGTTGGGTGATTGTAGTAAATGCGCGTGACTAAGGTGGGCTACACTCGTTGGGATCACATTGGCTATCTCGTGGAAAATTTTAATACTACAAATTATATTACCATTAGTTTTCTCTAGGGTTCTGGACCTTATTTTTTATTTTTATTTTTGTTAAAAAAAATAAAATTATTTGACATTTTTATTCATTTTTAGTACAAAATAAAAGCGATAAATCTCAAACAGCCGTCATCAAAACATCTTAAGGAAGAATATCATTCACAGATTTATCTCCAATGGAGAGATTAAGGAAGAATATCATTCACAGATTTATCTCCAATGGAGAGATTTGAACTCCAAAACGATTAAAATTAATATGTTTAAGTTCATAAATTTGATTAAATTAAACTTAAAGATAGTGAAGAAAAAGAGTAATTCGTAAAAATTAATATAAAAAAAGTTCTTCAAAACACATTTGGGGCTTGTTTGGTTTGTTTTTGGGAGAGTTGTTTTTGAAAAAAATTTGAGAGAATTGTTTTAGAAATTTTTTTGGTTTGTTTGGTTGTGCATTTTGAGAGATAAATTTTTTATGGGAGTTTGGGATGATTTGATATTGATGTGTAAGAAAAAGAAAGTGATTTTAAAATTTTTTTGAGAAAAATCTCAAACCAAACAATTTTTGAAATTTTTTTTTCTAAAACTCATCTCTCAAATTCAAACAAAACAAGCCCTAAATTTTTAATAGGAGGACCAAATTTTCATCATGCCATAAGTAATTTAAATTTACAAGTCTTGTTATCTCTGAGGACTGTCAATAAAAAGTGTAAAATATTAAAATATTTTTATACATTTTAATATATTTCTTATACTTTTTTAACACTAACAACAATGACTATTTTGAACATTTTTCAAATTCAGATTAATTTGGAAAGTGATTAAAATTAGTTAAAAAGTTAAAATGTTACTAAAAATATCAAAAGAATCTTGCAAAAAGTTAAAAGATTTTTTACTCACTATTTTTCCTTTTTACATCACTTTTCCTAAAAAATTAAGTTATTTTCAAATATTTTATTTTTTTCCCCTCATATTTTAATTTAAAAAATCAATTTCCAGATCAACCCTTATAATCCAATCAAGCAAGTTAAAAGTTTGTGTTCAAAACCTCTACTTTGTTCAATAAAAAAATAAATAAATAAACTATTATTTATGATAATATAGGTTACGATGACTACATCAATCAAGCCAATATCTTGTTTAAATCACGAACTTTTCCCAGTGTGTACGCATGACGAAAAGAAAGGACCATTATAAATGAAAAAATAGCATAATGAAGATTTTGTCCTCCTATTAAAAATTCAGAAAATGGCTGGTAGCTCGAAATTTGTGACTTGATTTTAGTTTGAATAGCAAAATGACGTCGTTTTGTCATTTTTTTTTTCCGTCTTTTTCTTCGTTTTCTTTCTCTTCCTTTTCTTTCTTTCTTTTCTTCTTCTTCTTCGTTGAACACAGGCAAGAGAGAAACAGAGCTCGTCAGACACAGCTCGTTGGCGTCGTTGAACACAGCTCGTCACTTGTCGCTCAGCCCTGCCTCCGCCTCTGCCTCCGCCCGCCGCCTCCTCCGCCTTCACCTCCGCTTCCACCTCCAATTTTGATGGCTCCCTCCAGTCCAGTTCTTCTTCTCCTTCTTCTCTTCTTCCTCTTCTCCGAATTCGGGCCAAATTCGAGTCTCGGAATTCGAGCTACGAATCAGAACCATAAAAATCCTCTCACTGTTTTGTAGAATTTTCTAAATTTAATTTTTTTTTCTTAATTTGAGTGTAATATTTAGTTAGAATTTTTAGAAATTGATTTCACGCCCATTTTTAAGAGCATATCCCTGGTCATTTTTTCGGTCGTCTGGCTGATTGGTCGGAACAATATTCAGTTTTTATTTATTTATTTATTTGGCACATGTTATTTTTATATTTTAAATAAAAAATATTTTCATTTTTTTTATGAGTTTTGAATAGAATTTTGGATTGTATGTTTGATTATAAGTTATAAGTTTTTAAATCAAATATCATATGTCATATCAAAATTTTCAAACTTAATTCAAAACTCATAACCAAATAAATTTTTCACATTCAAATCATAATTTTAAAACTCACAAACTTAAAATATAATTATATTCTCAAATCATAATTTTAAAACTCTACCAACCACTGCCCTAATTTTTCTTTCCTATGTCTTTGGAGAGGTTTTTTAAGATCAATTTTTGCGGTTCGCTCTTCCTTCTCTCTTTCTTCACTTTCTTTGATTTCAATCTGATTGAATTCACAGACTTGAACAACATTGATTTCAATCGTTTTGAAGTTCAGATCTCTCTATCCAGAATATGAAAAGATCTTAGTAATATTAAAATATTAAACTTAACACTTACTAATTTATCTGTTGTTTTATATCTTT